AAACTCAAGACGGTCACCAAAAATGACAAAATGGCCACAAAGCCATAGTCAAAACGGCCGCACCAAAGTCAAAATGGATAAGACAATGATGAACCGCCACTGTTAGCGGGATGTGTACGCTGTACGTGTTAGAGATAGTCATTGCAAAGAAATCTCTTGGTAATCTCTTCAAGTAGTTTTAATCAATCTCATCATATTACTTTTGCTTAAAAAATGAATAAACTTTGATCCCAATGAGGAAAGCTTTCTTTGTTTTTATTTCAAACTAATCCATTCGTGAGTCGGAAAACTCAGCTTCAGCTCAATACAATGTATATCAGATTTAATGTAACATAATAATTGAGTTTGTTGTATTTATATGTTTCTGTCGCTCGTCACGCTGAAGGCCCGGGTTCGATTCCAAATCGGTACAATGTGTGAAGCAAATTCGGGTGTCCTCCGCCGTGATATTCCTGGAATATTGCTAAAACGGCGTTAAACCATACTCATTCACCCACTTATATTTTTTGTGTGGCCGTTTTGACTTTTTTTTGTTGAGGTCCTGTTAACGCCTTTGTGTGGCCGTTTTGACTTCACCTTTTGAGGTCATTCAAGACGTCATGAGACGTTTTTACCTACTCTCATATTTATGACGCCTTGTGCAGTAGGTACCTAGTATGGATGTTGTTTATGACGCTTTTTGCAGTGTATCACCTGTATGGATACAAGTTATGACGCTTTGTGCAGTGAGTCCTTGTATGTGCATTATTTATGACGCATTGTGCTTTAATAAATCAGATGCATGTTATATTGCACAGATGCAGCTACGTTGTTTATGTTTATGACGTTAATGCATGTAATATTTTCCTCAAATGTTATCACGGCAAATCATATTTGTTCTTATACTTTTTTCTCCTCAGCAAAAATCAGCACGTATGGATTTTGTTTTTAGGCCGAAGACAGCAATTATTCAGAGTCACGGACTGTATACAAGGGAGGATGGCCCAGATAAACCTATGGTTGATATTATGAGCAACGCACGCCATGGGGGAAAGGTGACATGCAATCAACAAAGTCACCGAGTCCGACCACCCGATCCATTTGGTTGGTTGGTTTGTTGTTTTACGCAGCACTCAGCAATATTCCAGCTATATGACGGGGGTCTTTAAATAATCGAGTCTGGACCAGACAATCCAGTGACTGACATCATGTACATCGATCCACACAATTGGGATCGATGACATGCTTCAACCAAGTCAGCGAGTCTGACCACCCGATCCCGTTAGTCGCCTCTTACGACAAGCATACCGATCCATTTGATTACCTCTTACGACACGCATCGGTTAACGGGGACCTGAGTGAGTGAGTGAGTGTGTTTGATTTTACGCCGCTTTCAGTAATATTTCAGCAATATCACGGCGAGGGACACCAGAAATGGGCTTCACACATTGTACCCATGTCGGGAATCGAACCCGTGTCTTCGGCGTGACGAGCGACCGCTTTAACCACTAGGCTACCCGACCGCCCCCGGGGACCAGCAGCTGATGCATCCAGGCTTTAGATCAACAAGAGGCCAAAACAAGACAATATTAAAGCATACTGGCAATTCAACACGTTTCAAAGCCAAACTCGTTCTAACTTATATTGTATAGCTATCTACATGTATCAGATAATCCCTTTCCTACCCGCGCAGATACTGGTTAGAATTGGTCTTCAGAAAACATTACCTGAAAGAGGCGGGATCTGGTGGTCAGGTTCGCTTTCTAGGTTGATGCGTAACACCGTATCCCAACTGGGTAGATCGATGCTCATGATGTCAAGTACTGGGTTGTCTGGTCCAGGCTCGATTGTTTACAGACTGTAATATAGCTGGAATATGGGTGCTGCGTTAAACAAACGAACAAACAAACAATAATACCTTCCCGAAGTACACAAACACACAGTTTGAGACAGAGCAATGTCAAGCTACCTGGAAAATACTAAACTTTAAGAGGTTAAAATAACATTCACTCACTCACATCTTGGGACATTGCAAGTAGCCAAAAGGATACTGTGTGTGTCCCACACGGATTCGAACCCCTGGTGTTTATTTATGTAAATCTGTCTTCGTATTCACCGCCCTGTTTGTCTCACCCACTAACCCACAGAGAGGTCGACGTAACACTTGCTTACGGCTTTTAAAACCATTCATATGTGACCTTCACACTCGAATAGGCTTAGTTGTCGACAGGCCCTGTGGGTAGATCCCAAGGGATTATTGGTTTGGCCTTTGTGTACTCAGTCTGTCAGTTTTGCGGTTTCGTCTTCATTTGTAAAATGTCGCAAATGATTGATGATGTTTTGATGAAGGAGTCTGAATTATGCTGCTCGGGGATTGTTAAAGCGTCTTCATCGACAACTGAAGTTTGCCGATTTATGTTTACAAAACATAAGCTTAATTGTGTGAACGTTTTACGAACTCGTGTGTGAAGTTTGACAAACTGTTGGTGAAATATAGTATCAGTCTCTATTCTCACCAATATTTTAGCCAACATTTTATTGTTTTCAAACTCGATTTTGACATGTGCAAAATATGTTAATATGTTGCTTACAACCAATCAGATACTGCATAGCTGTCACATGTTCTAGCTGCCACGAAATTGCGTCTTTATTTGAGAGAAGTGAAAAGTAACTGAATTACAACAAACATAGTATTACCATAACAAATGTTATATTTGGGATAGCACTTTCTTAGTAAACTTTTGGGGATTCGAACCCACACTGCCAGAGTGAGGCACCTAATCGCCAGCACACAAAGAAGGCCACCTAACCCACTCACTTGTCAGAGGGGTACACAAAGTACGTGATCTAGACTACCAGTTGTCGGACTTCCATTTCTGTGGAAGCCCCGATGGCTGAGTGGGTTAGATCGCTGACTTTGTGTGCTGGCGATTAGGTGTCTCACTCTGGCAGTGTGCGTTCGAAGCCCGGACGGGGCTCAACCCCTAAAAAATACGAGGATCTGTACTTTACTTAGAAAGTGTTATCCCGAATATAACATTTGTTACATTTGGCCACTTTCTAAATGGCATTGTGTATTCAAAACATACTAGTCGTGTGGAAACACACGTTGACGCGTGTGCAGCCGCCTTAAGTGATCATGTTTGTAATTGCTTCGCTGTTGCAACTTCAGAAAGTACCAAATACTAAGTAAACCGTATATTTTACTGCGAAAGACACCTGCTACATTCCCCCAACACAGTGTACATTGTATGAGTTTAGTTTAACGCCACTTTACGTTAGGAGTTTGCAACAATGGTGAAACCCATGTGTACGGACATGGTGCTGACAAACCTAGAAACTTAATCAGGGTGAACCGGGATTCCAACCCACGATCATAGGCTTCTGGTGTGTTCAAGGGACGCAACACTGCACAGAGAATCGCAGCACCCAGATCAACACAAGTAAGCATCATCATAGTCTGCAATTTGCCCCAGGACAAAAGCAGTCAACATCATCAGGGTTGCCAATTGCCCCAGGACAAAAGCAGTCAACATCATCAGGGTTGCCAATTGCCCAAGGACAAAAGGAGTCAACATCATCAGGGTTGCCAATTGCCCCAGGACAAAAGCAGTCGACATCATCAGGGTTGCCAATTGCCCAAGGACAAAAGGAGTCAACATCATCAGGGTTGCCAATTGCCCCAGGACAAAAGCATTCAACATCAACAGGGTTGCCAATTGCCCCAGGACAAAAGCAGTCAACATCATCAGGGTTGCCAATTGCCCCGGACAAAAGCAGTCAACATCATCAGGGTTGCCAATTGCCCCAGGACAAAAGCCGTCAACATCATCAGGGTTGCCAATTGCCCAAGGACAAAAGCAGTCAACATCATCGGGGTTGCCAGTTGCCCCAGGACAAAAGCCGTCAACATCATCAGGGTTGCCAATTGCCCAAGGACAAAAGCAGTCAACATAAACAGGGATGCCAATTGCCCAAGGACAAAAGCAGTCAACATCATCAGGGTTGCCAATTGCCCAAGGACAACAGCAGTCAACATCACCAGGGTTGCCAATTGCCCCAGGACAAAAGCAATCAACATCATCAGGGTTGCCATTTGCCCCAGGACAAAAGCAGTCAACATCATCAGGGTTGCCAATTGCCCCAGGACAAAAGCAGTCAACATCATCAGGGTTGCCAATTGCCCCAGGACAAAAGCAGTCAACATCATCAGGGTTGCCAATTGCCCAATGACAACAGCAGTCAACATCATCAGGGTTGCCAGTTGCCCCAGGACAAAAGCCGTCAACATCATCAGGGTTGCCAATTGCCCAAGGACAAAAGCAGTCAACATAAACAGGGATGCCAATTGCCCAAGGACAAAAGCAATCAACATCATCAGGGTTGCCATTTGCCCCAGGACAAAAGCAGTCAACATCATCAGGGTTGCCAGTTGCCCAAGGACAAAAGCAGTCAACATCATCACGGTTGCCAATTGCCCCAGGACAAAAGCAGTCAACATCACCAGGGTTGCCAATTGCCCCAGGACAAAAGCAGTCAACATCACCTGGTTGCCAGTTGCTCTAGAACAACACCAGTCTACATCGTCAGGGTTGCCAATTGCCCGAGGACAACACCAGTCAACATCACCAGGATTGCCAATTGCCCAAGGACAAAAGCAATCAACATCATCAGGGTTGCCAATTGCCCTGGGACAGCATCAGAATAACATATCAGGGCTACCAGTTGCCCGAGACATTGTATTCGTAAGACGCCGAACTCATGAGATCCGCTGGTCTCAGTTCGAATCTGAGATCCTCCTCGTTGAAGAACTTAGGTCTGTCGGCACTACACCCTAATAAACGTCTACGACTGGCGCCACTTCGGACTTTCCTAAGGGTGTCACGCCGTGACATAACCCAAATATTCAAATATTGAACTCGGAAATGTTTGTGATATCCAGCCATATCATATAACACCTTTGATGAAACAGATCAGATGTTTCCTGATTGGATATAAGACGTCATCCACTCAATAAAATATAACGAACTGATGTGTTTATTAGTTTGTGACATGTTTCACAATATACACACAAAAAATCTTCACAGAGGATCAATTATACCATGAAGCGAAAGAAAACATTGTTCGATTATAAACTTTTAGAAATTCAATCGACCAATAACTGATATGCTCTTTCGTGTTTTATTGTTCATATTCTACATAAAAACAAGGGATTAAATTAATTGATCTAAAGCCCAACATTGTCGGTAAAATTGTTATATGGCTGTAAAAATGTATTCACTCTCCAACTGCCAAAAAGTTTTAATGGCCATTACCCTGTGCTACTTCTTAAAATCAAGTTTGATTTTAATTTAAAAACTGATGTGTTGATAAGAAATATCTTGGCTGCCGTGATTTGGAGTCCAGTTATGTAACACAAAATGCTGTGATAATTAAATCATTCAGAATGTAACATTTAGGACGTATTTCACCATGAGAAGCTCAACAATAAAATCATTAGACAATAAAGCTCTGACATACAGAGCTCACAGGGACATATTCCAACTCGTCTTTCGAGTTTTCCGAAATTCATGACGATGCTTACCATGAAAACGGTACTTAAAAGGAGCTCGTTATAAAAAAATGGTTAGTTCCTGACACTTCTTCTTTCAGTTATCTTTCCCCAAAATAAACTATGATGTCACACAGATCAAACTACATGAGTTCTTTGAGATCCCGTTCGTCCTTGACCACCTCGCACGCGCGTTTTTCTGGATTAAAGAGTTCCTGCGCATTGGTCTCGTCACACTGACCCTTGTAGACAACTCTGCCTTGTTCGCAGACAACGAAGAAGGGAGACCACTCTCGTCCGACCCACGAGTTCATGCCATCTTGGAGTCCGTTACAGCTAGGATACCTCACATGGCACGGTATGCAGTGAGATCGTTGACACTGGTTTGACTCGTATTCACCTGATCAAAAGAAACAGGTTTAACATAATTGAACATAATATTGATGTCTCTAACAAGGTTTTAAACTTAAATCCTTAGATAATACCGACCATGATCAATTTTCTTTTCATCACTTATTTGTGGGTTGGGGGCACGGGTTGCCAAGTCGTCTAAGGCGCTGCAATTGCTGTGCAGAGTTGCGTCCCTTGGGCATGCCGGGAACCTATGGTCGTGGGTTCGAATCCAGGTTCGCCCTGATTATGTTTTCTAGGTTTGTCAGCACCATACCCGTGCTCGTGTATTTCAGCGAAGTGGTAAACGTCTGATACCTGCATCACCTCGGGCTTTCCTCCCACATTAAGCTGGCACGCCGTTATATGACTGGAATACTGTCCAAGCGGCGTTAAAGCCACCTCACTCACTCACCTTGCTTAGCGTGTGTCATTGTACCCCAACGGCATGAATCAATGCCTATGGTGTCAACAATGGGTTTACCTATTCGTGATATACCGTAGTTGAATTATTGTTCACTGTGGCATAAAATAACATTCACTCATCCAGGAACTCAAAGATTACAACTGTTACTTAAACAACACTATAAACTATCAAGCCTTTCAAAAGAATAAAAGTTAGTTTGATACTTGTGAAGTAAACATGTGTTTGATAACTGTAAAGCGAATATTTGTTTGATCCTTCTGATAGACTATGAAGTGAATATTTGTTTAATACCCGTGAAGTAAACATTTGTTTGATACCTGTAAAGTAAACATTTATTTGATACCTGTGAAGTGAATATTTGTTTGATACCTGTGAAGTAAACATGTAACCCTTTATCTTATTTATTAAGTGCCGTCAGTTTCACTTCAGTAGTATTATGTTATTATCAAGCACTTTTGTCACAATATGATCTCGATTTACTTACAAGGGTCTTTGGCCTCTTTCCTTTGTCCACAGGTCACTAGCGCGTAGGGCTCGCACCTGTTGGTCTCGTCATTGTACAACATAGGGTAGGGGCATTCCTTAACGAGCGGATCCGAGGTGAGGGTGGAGTCACGTGATACGCAGTCGTAGTACTGTGCACAGTTATCTCCCTTGGCTGCCCGTTCGACGTTGCGACTGCTGCATGGGTTGAGATTCTCCAGCTGAGATTTGATTGAACCTAAAAATACAAACAATGGAACATGTCATTGGTTATAATGAATGATTGAATACGGGGAATGATAATAGTGTCTACTGTAATATAGAATTAATTTATCTTGGCATGTCTCCTCTAGTACTGAGGTGAAGGTCACCAAAATATTCATCCATTCTAGATCATGCTGAGCTGAGCTGAGAGGAGATTCTTGTACATGTAGCTTAGATTTCCGGAAGCGTATCGTGTGAGATGTGTGCATTTAGACAACAATGTGAAGGAGATGAGTGAGTCACGTCACGTCACGTCACGTCACGCCATGTCAAATCACATCACGCTACGTCACGTCACAGCTCTGACAAGTCTAGTCAAGTCTTTCTTCGTATCAAGACAACTGATATATATATATATATATATATATATATATATATATATATAGTACAATGGTACATATTACAATGGTACATGAATCCATACATAAGTTCCATCGTATTATTCTAATATTTGCAAAACTTGAGTAAGTGGGTAGCTTACAATCTATGATCTAACATGTGTATATTAAGGGTTTGTAGACATCCAAGGACAACAGCTACTGCACAACCTATTATAACATTTTTTCATATTAAAACAAACAGTGAAATGATTGATGTGTTTAAATTGCGATCCTAAATTTATCAAAGTGTTTTAGTGTCTCATTTTGAGCTATACGTTGGAAGATGGCAAGAGTACCCCGATTTGTCGAGGGTGAACCACTTGCGTGGATCGATGCCCATGATATCAATCACTGGATTATCAGGCCCAGATTCACAGACAGCCTAAGTGTGGCGTTAAACAACAAACAACAAACAAACAAACCAAGTCAGGCCCATAATTACTCTCACTCACTCACTCACTCACTCACTCACTAAGATTGAAGCTTACATTTGTCCCACTCCGATCCAGCTCCCACGCACGTTCTTGTTGTAGGGTCCCATACATTTTCTCCACAGGTGAAGTTGAATTTCTGTCCATTAAAACACAGGTAGAACTTTGAGCAGTCCCGGGGGTCCGCCTTCCAGACTTGCCCCCCTTGTCTCAGGTTACAGGAGACGTCCCCTGACACCCAAGCTCCAAACAGAGCAACACAAACGACAAACAATACCGCCATCATCCAACAACTAACGCTGAAACACAAAACTCGTCTTAATTTCCGCTTACCTGGCCTTGGAATGATGAGACTGTATATTCCGGTGGTGTTATATGTACCCGTATTCCACCCACGTGTATTTCAAAAGCACTGGCACTACCCGTGACGTCACTATGACGTCACAGAGAAAGATGAAAGAGAGACCAGATAACGCCATGACCTTGTTGTCAATGGGGCGGTGTTTTATGTCACCCTGGCACCCCAACTTCCTTAATCACGTTGCTATTATCTCATCTTGTCTCGTGCTTCTGACAAAGATTACAATCTCGAAGTGATATGTCATGTTAAAACAACACCCCTGGAACGTTCCAACCTGCTGTAGATTAGCCATGCGTATTTCTGAACAGAAAGGCCACGTGTCCAACTTCAGACGCAGGGCCTTTTCATTTTGATTTTATTGCAGAATGTGTTTTAGTCTTTTAAAACTTTTCATGTTTTATCAACACTCGTTTTCGATTGGATGGAAATGTTTATTTCCACAATTAAAGATAATATGTTTCAGATCTATGAGGGATGTCAATGAAGAAAATGTCCTAGGATTCTGAAATCAAAGAACCAACAAGTGTCAAGGAGAGAGAGAGAGAGAGAGAGAGAGAGAGAAAGAGAGAGAGAGAGAGCACTTGCATAAAAATATTGTTCCTTCATACAGTGATTGTTGAGAGTGTTTAAGGCTGCTTAATTTGAAACCTTTTTCAAATGCCTATGTTGTGTTTTTAGGACCAGTCAAAGATACCCCCTTTGCATATTATTTTGATATATTTTTCTATAACTTAATTTAGATAGAAACATTGTTCACATTTCAGATCAGTGAACCCAAATAAACGTTCATCATTTATGATGTATACCCTGACACCTGATCACCTGATTGATTTCTTATTCTAGAGTGAGTGAGTGAGTGAGTGTTACGCCGCTTTGAGAAATATTCCGGCAATATCACAGCGAGGAATACCGGAAATAAGATTCACACATTTTACCCATGTGAGGAATCCAACCTGGGTCTTCGGCACGTCGGGCGAACGCTTTAACTACTAGGCTACCTCACCGCCGCTTATTCTATACATGAAGTCACTCGTGTGCTCTGTGAGCCATTCAACCCCTACATCAGTGGTGACATTCGTTTGGGTAAAAAATATACTAGTATTCCAAATTTGGGCTGGTACAATATGTCTATAAAATTTAAATGGTTTCTCAAAACAGGTCATTAATTGGGTAGAATAGGTCTTCAGCAACCCATGCTTGCTGTAAAAGCCACTATGCTTGTCGTAAGAGGCTACGAAAGGGATCGGGTGGTCAGGCTCGCTGACGTGGTTGGTGAATATCATCGTATCCCAATTTCTCTGGATTGTCTGGTCCAGACTCGATTATTTACAGACCGCTGTCATATAGCTTGAATATTGCTGAGTGCGGCGTTAAACAACAAACAAACAAACATTAATTAGAGCATCTCCATAAATATCTCAATACTTGTTTTTTTCATACAGTTCATGTGGGGATGGTTTTAATTCCATACTTTGACCCTTAATGATAAAGACAAACTAAGGTCTGACGCCATGACGTGTCGCGGATGGTTCACTGATAATTATTAAATACAACACATTAGTTCTAAAAAGAGACAAAAGTGTGTTTTAACGTTTGTAAACATGTTTGAGATATGTTAACCGACTTTAACAGGTTTAGAGATTATAGCGAGGGGGAGCTAAACATAGCGTTTCACTGTGAGGTGAAAGTTGCAGAACTGGCGTGTTCCAGTTGCTGTGACGATGCAAGATGTAAGATGCAAGATGCGGAACCAACTGATATGCCTTTCATTTTCCTGTGTAATGGAATGGCAGCTTCAGAACTGAATATATCAACCCTACCAACAAAAAGATGCCACACCAGTATCAGTTTGTGGAGAGGAGAGAGCGAGAGAGAGAGAGAGAGAGAGAGAGAGAGAGTGAGAGAGAGAGAGAGAGAGAGAGAGAGAGAGAGAGAGAGAGAGAAAGAGAGAGAGAGACTACGTTTCCCGTGGATCGTCCGGATTATCGAATGCGTGTAGTTTTACGCCGCTTTTAGCACTGTTACATCAATATCAAAGTGAGGCACACCCGTCATGGGCTTCGCGCTTAATACCCATGTGGGAATCGAACCCGGGTCTTCGGCGTGACGAGCGAAAATGAGTGAATGTACGAAGCCCATTTCTGGTGTCCTCTGCCGTGATATTGCTGGAATATTGCTAAAAGCGGCGTAAAACCATACTCACTCAATCATTCTAATGGGTGTTATTATAGAACAGAACAAAGATGTTCTAAAGAAGGGGTTTCCGGATAGACGGAGTTCTGAGTAATTTGTTTCTGTGTTGATTGTTTTGGCATAGGAGCATAAGAGCAATCGTGACGTTAAGTTGGTTCCCGGCTTTCTCTGCGCGTCGTCGACTTGCGGAAGGTTAATAAGCCCAGCTTACATCATCTTCCCGAGGCAAGGGGGTTAACTTACTATAAAAGTCCACTGGCAGTTTCCACGCTTGCCGAACTAGGCTGGAATTTCCAGGCTCGATCGTAGCGCCACCAGTTGCTATTACGAACTATTACGACTTATGAGCCATCTACGTCCCTCCTATTGACCAATCAGATTCCACCTCTCATTACACTTGCAATTGCTTCAAACAAAATGACGGCGCCCAGTCGAGACGATCTGGTCGATAATCAAGATCTATATTGTAATAAAACGGGTGTTACCTCGCGAAGTGCATCAAATTACTTGGCAACCTTGATTAAAAACATGAAAAGATTTGCAAAATATCTGTCGACGCCCAGTTGGCGGTATACATGCTATGCAAATCCTGCAGTAGACCGAAATATGCACGATGTTTACGAACCGGATGTTAAGTTTGTTACGCGATTTTGATTGGACTATGCACAGACTCGTTAGTCCAGCAAAAATGTATTAGTCCAGCAAAAATCAATTCAAGCCTTGTTCGGCAAGGGTGGCAACTTGACTTTTACAGTCAGTTAACTCACTTGCCACGGGAAGATGAGTTAACATTTACGCTACATAATAAACTGGTTCTACTGTTGGTACGCGCCGCAAGCTTAGCGCCTTTAGTATATGAGCCAAGTTCGAGACATCCGGTCGCTGGTTGCTTAGCAACACAAGAGCCGGTTCGCGTTGGTCAATACAATATAGTACATGTCTAATACATAACGTGAACTGTCAATGGTGAATGTTTGTATAAAATGTTTCTGTTTGAGCTTGGCTTAACAAATAACCTAGTTACAAACTTGGTCACCAAAACACCGTCTTGAGGTTGGACTATATGTCAATATCAGTCAAATACCAGAACAACATCAGGTGCCTGTATTGACATGCTAAAATTAGTCTAACTCAAACATTTATTTTCGACGGCAGAAATAAAAGCCACATATATTATGCAAATGAAAATACAGATCACCAAAGCAGGCTTGTGGATTTAAGGTTGTTTGAGCAAGCTGTACAGTTGTAGGATTTGTTAGGGGGCATGGAGAAACTATATTTGGCATGTGTGTTTTGAAAGGTGTATCGTTACGCTAGCCGCTGTACTTATATCGAAGAAACGATAGTGTTTCGTGACTGGAAATACTCGCGTCTCCGCGAAACACGGAGTTACTTTCACTTGGGGATATGTGTACTGTATGACATGGGGGATAGCTTCAAATGTCGAAACATCAACTCTCCCTTTTTGTCGAGCAATATTCCAGCAGCTTCAGCTTTTGGTGTCTACATTTCACAACGTTTGATGCACAATCGAGCAGGCTGTTTGTACGGAGATTTCAAACAGCGTCATACGACTCTTGTTCAGAAGTTGTTTCATCAAGGCTACAACATTCAAGGCCACAATAAAGCTTTCAAAACGTTTTATGGTAGACATGTGGAGGACATTTTCAAATTGGACGCATCAGTGACAAAGATTATGTCCGATATTTTTACTTTTTCGGACTTTTTTTTTCAGGTGAACATTTGACTTGCCTTTGCATGTGTTTGTCACGAGTGCCACAGATGGAACATGATATGCTCACGTTAACGCGAACACCTGGTAGTACCCAAAGTGATGCAGGCCTTGGACGTTTGATGACGACATTGGTGAAACCCACAGACAAGAGATCGTAATTATTGTTCAGTGGCAAAAACCCAACTCACTCACTCACTCACCTTGACTATTGACTCGGACGGATCGTGTTTGACTTTCCGTTGTTTTAGGTGAACGATTGACTTGCCTTCGCATGTGTTTGTGACGACGACGGGGCAAGATTCCATCACCTTTTCGCGAACACCTGGTATCGTCACTATTTGAAAGTGTTTCATAAACACATGCTTCCGCTTTAGTCGGAATCGTACAATCAGTTTTGGCAGACATTTCTCATGAATATAGAAATGGTTTTGTCGTTTTAATTGGTAATATATTTTCTAAGATAGTTATTTAAAAAGATTTGGTACAAACTTGGTTAAGCAGTGATTAATCTAGTATAAGCAAAATGAATATTTTATGTTGCTTTTTTTTCTTATATAAACTGCCGAGCAAAAACAAATACGCTTGAAAAGTGGGGAGGGGGGGGGGGGGGGGGGGGTGGGGGGGGGTAATTAAAAACGTTATCATAACATTACAAAGCTAAGAACAGCCACCGCAACGCTGCAAACATAAGGACCTACACACAACGACGATACTCGAATCAAATACATCACCATTTCTTTTTAGCCCACATCAAACATGGGTGTATACTTCCTTTTTCCCACCAGTTTCTATTTATACATGCAAAAAACAAAATATAATCGTTTTATCATTCGCATCCACACCCAACCCAAATTACTATCCTCACCACACCCGCACCACATCCGCATCCACACCGACAAGCACACCAACCAATAGTCATTATAACCGTAACTGCGTCTCACGTCAACGCTTGTCCGCCACATTTCCCCCCGAGGTGCGAATCAAAGCGCACCCTGTGACGTCAAATCTCAAGTACACCCTAGTTGCTATTTTTGCTTTATAATAACCTGTATATTGTTCAGATGTGAAAATAATA